GAGCGATCTGGAAATCGGTTATATATGACTTATGTTAGTTGTAATATTGCAAAATCCGATCCGTGATGCTCGGAAAATCTACCGTTGAAATTAGGATCACATGAGTAATGTATTTTACGCGCGAATAAATACTACAGAAATATACAGAATCATAAAATTGATAAACATGCAACGTGATAAATATATTAGCCATTGCATAAACATTCTGCATCATCGTGATTGAGTCTGAATATTGACAGATTAAAAACTCGACAATGTCATTATTAATGATCTATTTACGCGTATTGTTAAAGCGACGTAGTATGAGATGAAACTTCTCGAGTTTCCTGTTTTTCCTTCACTTTTATGTTTTCCTTATGTAGATTCATTGACGTAGCCTCCGATAATTTCGGCGATCCAGCATCATTTATTACACAGTTATAAATAAGAGATTACAACACTATTTATGCGATCACTGATTCGCGATATTCAAAACAAAAACTTTTTTTTCCGCGAAATGTTATTGCTTTTTCATTTAATCAAAATTCTATTCAACACTTCGCTCAATTAAATATTGGGTAAACACCAATCTCCGTCATCACTACCACTTCAACATAACGATCAAAGGTCGATCTCACTAAAGTACGATCTTTTAACCAACTATACCTTATCTAAGATCGAATAAAAATCAACGTCCATGTGAGGTGCATATAAAGATCTCGACTCACTTGCAATCACGTGGCAATGTCCTCAGGGCGATGTAGAACCATCTTAAACGGCCACCGGCGACAAAATAGGCAACGAAGACCACTAGAAGCAGTTGCACGAGATAAATCGGACCCATATAGATTGTCACTAGAGCCAAAGTGCCAGCAGCAACCGCCAGCAACAGCATGATGAGAGTCAAGCGACGTAGAAAACGGCCGACCGCCTTCCAGCGGCTTCCGCTCGCCGAGTCTCTCTCCGATCTCCGATCCAATGGTCCGGCGCCCACGCCGGCACGTGTACTCCTCTGCTCGTCGTCCTGGCCCTGGCGCGTACCTGCGTTTACATCGCGCCCCACTCCGGCCGTTGCCCTCGTCACATCACATCTGTTGGCGTTGGACGACTCGCGCGACGCCGATGTCGGCGCCGAACCCGGCGTCGACGTCGACGCCGGCCGCGGGTGACCTCCTGACGGCGATACTCCGACACCGAAACGACCCTCGCCACGTTCGATATCCTGCAAAATGCGCGGAAATCTTTGAAGATTGGATTAAAGGATGGGCGAAACGTTTAATCCGCAAACGCGATAGTTTGAAAATCTTCGAACGATCGCGTCAACGTATTTATCAATTCATGAGTCACCCGGATGATCCAATAATATAAGGCTGATAATGAGATTGACGTTCCCATAAAGAAGCTATAAGTATAGCAAGTTATTGTGCAGACTGATAATGGGACTGATAATTTTGCAAAAAAGATTAAATATAGCAAGTCATCGTGCAGTTTTATCAGAAGAACATATAAAATTAGATAAATCGACAGAATTAAATATTTAAATATGAACATATTAATATTTTATATAAATATTTATTTACACAAATATGTTTGATATATATTAGTTGATACAGATTTTTTTTTTATATATATTTTAGCACAGTATTAGTTTGTAAAATGTATCTTCTGAATCTTGCTTTTAATTATTGCAGAAAGTCCGAACATTAAGAAATCCAAAAAGAATCTTTTTTTATTCTTCGTTGATTAAGTATTTTTAATTTCCAATTTACTATCCACACGCATATATGTGCATTCAAGATATTTTCCAGTCACTGATTGACTAGAACAAACTGCAAGGTTTCTAGTTTAGTCGACTACTTTCTAGTGCAATTTAGTTTCTCCTATCAATCATATTTCTGCTTATATGATGTAGTCGAGTTAAAGTATAATCCAACTTTACAAGCTGATAATATCGTATCTCATTTACTAGTTTTTTTCCTTGCAAAAACATCAAATACGTTATAATTATTGCATATAAAACTATCATATATATGTACGTGTATATAAAATAGCTTTCTCTGCTAATTTTTTCGCAGAGTTTTAATTAGGCCGACAAAATAAAATAAAAATTGCTATTAAAAAATATAAATTACATTTAAGGAGATATAGATATATGCACAGAATAAATTTTGATCAAATATTTTTTTTTTTTTTTTTTTTTTATATAATTGAACGGTCAAATATTTATTAAGTATTTTGTCGACTAAGTCTCGCAAATAAAAATTCTAAATTATTTAAAAAATTACATGTTACGAGTATAATCCGCGAATCATATTAGCGCTGTTTTGAATTGCATTTGGATGTTAAACGCATTGAGATGTTAAACGAGGTCATAACACATAGCCATCCGATGTTACAGTAACTGTCTGTATCTCATGTACCGTCTGTCGTTACACGTTATAAGCAAAACTACGGTCGCGTGACCGTAGTTACGTTTGGCCGCGCACGTTTCTTGTTCGCTCGCAAGATTGTACGCTAGGCGTCATTAATGTTTTCCACCACTTCCGGTTTATGCATTTCCGGGTTGAACGCATCGTATCTAGGCGCTACACACACGTGCGCGTCGCGCGTACACATACACTTACTATAGGAGCAGAAGCGCGTCTCCACGCAACATGTGCTTTAAATGGCGCCAACACACATTTCTGGAAGATCCTTTTAAACCTCGTGTTTAATATCGCGCATTAAAACACGTTTAAATCGCCACCTTCCTTCAGAGATGCCACCCGTCCCCTTTTCTCACGGCACTTTGCGTCATTTAACGATTAACATCTTTTAATCCGCACAGATATATTTATTGCGTATCGCAAACGAACTCGATTACTTTACATAATTCGCCGTTTGTCAGTTTATGACGAATTTCATCCGAACCTCGATTCAACCCCAATCTCTCTACGGTCTCTACTATAATCAATAACACGACAATGTCGCTACCCCGCGGTAAAAGGCGGTATCATCGGTGATAACAATCATGATGTGATTATAATCGTGATAAAAATGTCTGAGCACTGACCCGCTTTCTCATATGCACATGTAAATTTTATTTCTTAATTGCACAATATACGCGGGATGTCAAGCAAATGTAACTTCAACACTTTTGACGTGAAAAACTAACATCATTATTTGAATCGCGTTATTATTTTTATTTCAAGTCAAGAATATTAAAATAATGTTTAAAGAGCTGTATTACTTAATCAATGAATTATATTTTTACGATATACTCTTACTGCTTTTTTTTTATCACAGCGATTTTATCAATCTTTCTTGATTCAATCATCTTATTGTGTTTTAATGGAATAGTCTGTCAGTAATAAAGTAATGAAATATATAAATACACTCGTTTTAATTGGACTTTTGAACTGTCAAACGACATTTAATTATGCCGGGTCACGATCTCTGATTATGTAAAACTCGCTCGATCGTCCATACAATAAATTTCGATTTCAAACTTGATTCAACATAAAGTGAAAAAATCTGAAGGCCATAATAAAGAGGCATTATATGGAGGAGAAAATAATTGCGTTATATATTGAAAAAATTAGCGGTTTTCTGCTAATTTTTATGTCTGTTTTTGTTTGTTTTGCAACATGCCTCTAATTTTCTACTATATCCAGTAATAATACTAAATTCGTGCAATATATAGTATTATTTTACGCTAATTTCTTGCAGATTTAAGGAATAAGATATATTAATGCATATTAATATCAAGGTTTATTAATATTAAAATTTTCAGAGCACATTGATGCTAATTATTTACATGAAATTTAATGTTATAAAGATATGAGAGAAAGATCAGATTTTCAAATTTAAATAAAAAAGTATATATAATAGATTTATATATAATAGATTTATTTATTTGTATCATTTAGTGAATTTTGATATTCACTCACTAAGAAATGTCAAATACCATTAATTATGTGCGAGTGAACATGACAATCCATTAGTAGGTGAGATCTTATTTGGATATTTAATATATAATATTTAACATACAAACAATATTTAAATATAACATATAAAATAAGCGAAAAAAGATATATTTCCATAAATAAATTGTTAAAATATTTAGGTCATTTAGATCATTACTTCAGTCAAATCAGCAGCAAGATTTTAAATTGGGTATTGAATTGACAATCAAACAGCACCGCTTTCTACGAGATCCATTTATAAAATTTGTTTGCTAGATGTCATTTACGTTTATCATCTAAAAAAAAAAAGAAAGGATGGACGTTAACTTTTACAATAAATGTAATGAATTTAATATCTCGTATATATTTTTTGGTTATTATAAATACAATCTAATTTTGCAAAAATTATTTTTGTACGTGATTTTCGGAAATAATGTTCTATATAATTAAATTTAATTAATCTCTTGTAATTATGATTATATATTTCATCTATTACTAAAATCTTACGTATTATACACACACACACACACACACACACACACCAGAAACAAATGATAAATTAATCATATTTTAATAAACTTTTAGATAGAAAAAGGAAAAAGTTTGTATGCATTTAAATTTGTATTTATATTAAAAATATAATTATATATATTAAGCAATCTCTCTTCTTAAATTGCTTAAACTGCTATCTCACTCGCGTTTATACAAATATTTAACTTTTATATGCAGAAGCTGAAAAAAATCAGATTACAAAAATGCATTTAAAGATAAGTAAAAACTGTGCTACGGAGATACTTACACAATCCTTTTCGACGATTTGTGCGACATTTATTCCATTATTGTTGTTAATTGACATTTTCGATATAGTATCCGCCATTTTAATTTGTTAGAAAACTGCACACAGATTGGATTTATAAAAGTTAAAATTTAAAAAGTATACTTTTTACAAAGAAATATTAATGAACTTAAATTATTACATGCGCGAAACAGTATAATATATTCGTCCGACCAATTTGACCATCAATGCTCTTTAGTATGGATAAATTTGACTCTTTATATTCAACTTTTTTTAATAATTAATTATTTAAGTATTTTACAATTGCGTACAATTCAAGTTACACATAAACAACGGATGATTCACACAAAGCACTAAATTTTACACGCGGATTTTCCAACGTTCAATTCAACAAATAAAAAGAGGAAATTATGTAAAGAAATATAAGCTTCTGCAGCAACGGATTAAATGTGCATGTACTGACTGTGATTCGATTCCTGTTAGTGTTCGCACTAAAATGAAATAGCAGCGGCAAGTCGGTTAGGCCGATCATGAAAGTGGTCTCCCTCCTTTCGTTTCACGTGCGTGTACCGGTTCTTGAACGCCATCCATTCCTTCGTCCGCTTTTCGCTTTATTTCAGCTAAGAAAGGGAGAGAGAGAGAGAGAGAAAGAGAAAAAGAGAGAGAAAGAAAGAGATTGCAACTGTGCGTGATTGCGATTGCACCAACAAAAAGTATAGCAAGAAACGTTAGTAATATTTTTGACCTAGTTTTGTAAAATCTTTTATCTCATTTTTACATCTGCAAAAAAATATTTGTCATATTCGAGAGAAATTTACTGCATTTTATTATTAAAACAATAAATTTTCCACTGCTTGGAGCCATACTGACGTCAGAGGCGAGAAATTATGTAAATTTTTTCCTTGTATTTTTTAAGTTGAGATAAACTAGTATATTTGCATGCGATCATTTCTTGCTTATTGGCATCGTGGTCTAACAATAAGATGGTAATGAGGAATGAGAAATCTCGTAACAATTATATGATATCATTATCACACATATATATTTCTTATATTTTATTATATATATACTTTTCTTTATTTTTTAGACAGAATGTGTAAGTGTACAAGTTTAATAGCACAAAAATTTAGATAAGTATAAAAAAGAGATTGATGGAGAAAAATGGTGAATACGATTATTTTAATAATAATCATGTTAATACGCGTGATAGTCCATACTTTGACGTAAAGTCATGCAGTCGACCTCGTCAATTTTCAAAGTGTTCGTCTTCACGTTAATATCCTCCTCGAGTTGAATTTGTGTCTTGAGCAAGTAACGTAATGATGCTTCCGCCTGTGATACATTTCACAACGGATTATTATTATTTACTTAAAGTTTATCTAATTATGAAAAATGTATAGTTCGCGATTCATATGTAAAATTATATTATAAAACGCGAGGAACGCGACAAACCTCGCAAAGCATTTGCTGTAGATTCGCTACGACATTTCGTAATTCGTGTATTTCCTTGACAAGATTAGCCTCAACCAAGTCTTGAGTAAGTTCCATTCCTGGACGTTGACATCGATGTCCTAATCTCGTGTGAGCCAGAGCCATATAACCTTCCTTATCAACTATAGATCTTTTTATGCGCGCTATATTACTTGACATGGCGTTAATTTGTTTGATTATCTGCAAAATGATACGAAAAGTAGAAAACGTAGCATGGATTCTAAACCGAGATGATAAAATAGCGTGCCAAAAGTACGATATTTTAATGAGCATCGCGTCATTATTGCCTGCTTCGCGACTGTTGGAATTTTTTCCATTTAAAGTAAATCTGAGAAACTTTTTTAACATCTTTCGTTGAATATTTTAAAAACAGAAATATGCGAACATACTATCGTCTTCCGAAAACTGAATAGATTTTTTAATTTCCAAGATTTTTCAAGAGATATATCTTACATACCTCCGAGTGTTGAAGTTCCAATTTGATTTTAGCTTCTCGGGTCTGCTCGATACGTTGCCTGAAAGCCTCATTTGTGACATCTTTTTGTTTTGTTAGATCATCAACCGTTTGCTTAATCATCGCGTCGATATAACAACGTAATCGTTTTGTGCTATTCACCTCTTTATTTGCGCTAATAACATTGCTGTTCGTTTGAAGTTCCCATTCATTTAACGTCGCCGCTCTACAACAACAGTTTTTTTTTTATTTTTATCTTGAATATTATTACTACATGTAATATGAATTATTTGGTATCCTATAGATGAACACCAGTTAATCTGGCTTCGCAAATCTTGAATTTTTTTCAACATATTTTATCAGGCCATTTTGATGGAATACGAATAATAATAATATGCAGGGAAAAAACCTAGTTTATGTACAAGAAAACTGTAACTAAATGATCACTTCTGATGTCATTATACGACGTAGAGCCGCAAGTAATTCATTTGTATTGATAATGAGTTAATCATTTAATGCAAAAAACGATAATATTGTACATACGATTTATCGAGAGGCGAAGTACCGTGATAGATACTCAAATTAAAGTCAGTCTCCTTCAAATTTATATTATAACGATCGATATGCAAATTGCTCTCCTTATTCTCGAGATCGTGATCGATATAATACAATGTAGCCTTCGTTTTGCGAATTTGTTCGCCGGTTTCTTTCCAAATTTGATCCAACAAGCTCTCCGCTCTTTGGATGACCTCGCGCTCTTTCAACAAATTCTTTTCCACGTCGTCGTGAACTAAATCGATTCCCAATCTACATTCCCTGTATAATATCGTTATGGAAAATTAATTTAAAAAAAAAAAATAACTATCTTTTATTCAAGTTGATTCTCATAGGCGTACACAATAAATAGGCGGAAAAGTGTTGTCTGATGAAAATGACCTGGCAATGAGACAGTTTTCGCAAATTGCGAGAGCGTTTCTTTTTATGGACTTTAACGCGTCTGTAAGACGTTCTTTATACATCGACAGCGCGTCGATTTCCAAGACAACGTCCTTTCTGATCCGCAGCAATTCCTTCTTACGAAATTCGATGTCGTTAAGTTTTTCTTGCAGACGATGATCCGTCTCCTCCTTATTAGCTTTCACAATTTCCGCGGCCAATTCGCACGCGCGCGTTGCTTCAACTAAGATACGGTCTGATGATTCCTGTTGTGCTTCAGCGCATCGGTACCTAATCGAAATTATAATTAAATATTAAAAGAGAAGGATTGGTCGGACTCTAAACGTAAATTAAAGCGTGTAGATGTAATTTTATGAAAAACAATTTTCTTACTTCCTCTATAAAAAATTACATAAAATCTAAGGTGGAACAATATATTTCAACTTTTTATCACTGCGACAAGTCGTAACTCAGTTTTACGATAAACTTGTGTAATTTCAACTGTAACGGCGTCAAGACCTTTATTTACGCAATTTTATTGAATAATGTATGCATGACTTACTACAATACCTGAACTGATTGTTAGAATGCCACTCGTTCAATGTAAACTTCGAGAGGAGAGAAGGCGCACAATTTGCGTCCATTTCGATTTTCGTCGCGAATAACGCGACACGATTTTGCTTTAAACGAAAGATTGATCGCAGGTTAGGCGAAGAATTATATTTCAATGAGAAACGGATCACGAGGACATTATCTTCCTCCAATGTATTCGCTCGTTTCTAAGGAAACGTTTCCCTGTTCCTTTGAACTCCATTCAACAGAGAATAATATATGAATTGCAACGGCACTTTATTCTCATTACATAAGGCATAAGGTATCTTCTAATGACTATTGTCAAAAGCAACAGTCTAAAAAAACAGCATTTTTTTGTTAATTTATTCTTATTAGTTACGATTACATGTCTAAAGTTTCAAGTGTAAGATATAAGGAATTAAATTATTTTATTTTTACTTGTAAAAACGTACTAAACATTTTATTTTCCTCATAAAATTATTCCAAAAAAGCATTCAAATGAAAAAAAAAAGGAATTTTTATTTTTTCACATTTATTCCAAAAATTTATAATATATTACAACACATTAAAAATATCAAATTTTTTAATTGCGATTTTAAATGAGGGCGCTTTCATATCGGAGACTTGCTGCTTATACGTGACCGTTTTCATACTTACCGACCTCGTAATATACTTGCTGCTCAGCTGATTTAACAATGTTGTGTACGTGAAAAGTCACTGGATTCAATGGCAATTATGAAAAAGATAGGACGGGATCTTTGTCGAACAAATTCAATTTGTACGTCTCGAAATATATAATATATATAAAATATGTGAGTTTAAAGATATCATTACTGTAAAGTTAATTATATATAAATTCTTTAAAAAGCAGTTGAGAACTTCTTCCTATAAATGAAAAGAGATGTATTGAGATAATGAAAACGTTATGGAAAATTAATTTAAAAAAAAAAAATAACTATCTTTTATTCAAGTTGATTCTCATAGGCGTACACAATAAATAGGCGGAAAAGTGTTGTCTGATGAAAATGACCTGGCAATGAGACAGTTTTCGCAAATTGCGAGAGCGTTTCTTTTTATGGACTTTAACGCGTCTGTAAGACGTTCTTTATACATCGACAGCGCGTCGATTTCCAAGACAACGTCCTTTCTGATCCGCAGCAATTCCTTCTTACGAAATTCGATGTCGTTAAGTTTTTCTTGCAGACGATGATCCGTCTCCTCCTTATTAGCTTTCACAATTTCCGCGGCCAATTCGCACGCGCGCGTTGCTTCAACTAAGATACGGTCTGATGATTCCTGTTGTGCTTCAGCGCATCGGTACCTAATCGAAATTATAATTAAATATTAAAAGAGAAGGATTGGTCGGACTCTAAACGTGAATTAAAGCGTGTAGATGTAATTTTATGAAAAACAATTTTCTTACTTCCTCTATAAAAAATTACATAAAATCTAAGGTGGAACAATATATTTCAACTTTTTATCACTGCGACAAGTCGTAACTCAGTTTTACGATAAACTTGTGTAATTTCAACTGTAACGGCGTCAAGACCTTTATTTACGCAATTTTATTGAATAATGTATGCATGACTTACTACAATACCTGAACTGATTGTTAGAATGCCACTCGTTCAATGTAAACTTCGAGAGGAGAGAAGGCGCACAATTTGCGTCCATTTCGATTTTCGTCGCGAATAACGCGACACGATTTTGCTTTAAACGAAAGATTGATCGCAGGTTAGGCGAAGAATTATATTTCAATGAGAAACGGATCACGAGGACATTATCTTCCTCCAATGTATTCGCTCGTTTCTAAGGAAACGTTTCCCTGTTCCTTTGAACTCCATTCAACAGAGAATAATATATGAATTGCAACGGCACTTTATTCTCATTACATAAGGCATAAGGTATCTTCTAATGACTATTGTCAAAAGCAACAGTCTAAAAAAACAGCATTTTTTTGTTAATTTATTCTTATTAGTTACGATTACATGTCTAAAGTTTCAAGTGTAAGATATAAGGAATTAAATTATTTTATTTTTACTTGTAAAAACGTACTAAACATTTTATTTTCCTCATAAAATTATTCCAAAAAAGCATTCAAATGAAAAAAAAAAGGAATTTTTATTTTTTCACATTTATTCCAAAAATTTATAATATATTACAACACATTAAAAATATCAAATTTTTTAATTGCGATTTTAAATGAGGGCGCTTTCATATCGGAGACTTGCTGCTTATACGTGACCGTTTTCATACTTACCGACCTCGTAATATACTTGCTGCTCAGCTGATTTAACAATGTTGTGTACGTGAAAAGTCACTGGATTCAATGGCAATTATGAAAAAGATAGGACGGGATCTTTGTCGAACAAATTCAATTTGTACGTCTCGAAATATATAATATATATAAAATATGTGAGTTTAAAGATATCATTACTGTAAAGTTAATTATATATAAATTCTTTAAAAAGCAGTTGAGAACTTCTTCCTATAAATGAAAAGAGATGTATTGAGATAATGAAAACAATAATGATTATTTTAATTAACAAATAAATCTTTTGCAATAAACAATAGTTTACTTCCTATATAAGTAAGAAAAAATATATTCCTATTTTTGTACGACTTATGATAATTTACAGATGGAGTCTTGCCTGTATCTCTATTTCGATATATAAACGTCATGTCGTCGCTCGATTTAAAAAAATTGAAGAGAAGAGAACCACCAGAAGTCTCCAAGCCTAAGAAAAAGATAGATAGATTTGATGGATTGTCTGAAGAAGAAGTGCAAAAATATACATTGGAAGATTATTTGGAAATGAATCTGGATTTAGTCTTTGTTGGAATCAATCCCAGTTTAATGGCAGCACATCGTGGTAGATATTATGCAGGTCCTGGTAATCACTTTTATAAACTGCTACATGAATCTGGCTTAACACCAAGATTCGTCAGTTTTGAAGAAGATTATAAGCTCTTGCAATACGGTATCGGCCTGACAAATATTGTAACACGTCCCACTAGGTCTGCTGCGGATCTCAAACGAACAGAGATCAAAGAGGGTTCAAAAGTAGTGGAAGAGAAACTAAGATTGTACAAGCCCAGAATTGCAGTATTCAATGGTAAATGTATTTATGAAGTGTTTGCCAACATCAGAGCTAATAAAGCCACATTCCGTTTTGGATTACAACCTGAATGCATTGGTGATATTGCAATCTGGGTGACACCGTCAAGCAGTGCACGATGTGCCAATTTTCCCAGAATGATTGACAAGTTGCACTTTTACACAGGATTGAAAAAATATCTATGTTTCCTTAAAGGCGAAATCACTAATGTCGACGTAAAGGAATTCCAGTTTGAGGGAAAATGCAAGCAGTCTGTGCCCAGCACTTCTAAAATGTGGCGACGAAAAAATATCTCCACTTTCTTGCACGGAGGCAGAGTTGCTAACAAAAATACGTTTTGTCTCGATACATCGGAGGAAGATATTGCTGCAATTCATACAGCAGAATTTCTAGTAGAAAAAGCTAATTATACAAAATACAATAAAGGTGAAGATAGTTATAATCAAAAAAATGGGAATCAAGTATTATTCGATAAAATTGCAGAAAAAACTGAAGAGAATGTGAAGAAAATGGAAAAGAGTGTAGTTTCTGACGATGTCAGTGATGAAATGGTGGTTGATAATTGGTCAAAAAAGGAAGCTCCTGATGTTAATAGAAAAAAATGTAGTAATCATGTGACTAATATATTAAATCGTGAAAATGCAGCAAAATGTGAAAACAATGAAAAATGTACATCTTCGAAAATCGCTCACAGAACTGTAGAAACTCGGAATAATTTAAAAAATAGCAATAGAAGTGACTCATTAGATTTTATGAGCTTAATCAAGCAAAAATTATCTGAGAAAAATAACAGTATTGATACTACCTCTATTACCTCTGAATTAAAACTTAGTTAAAAATATTTAATCCAACGATAAATATATTAGGGATAATGATAAATATTAGCATATCTGGTTTCCAAGTTTTAACATTATATTAATGGCATGTATTTATATATTTTATTTTTATACTTAGTTTTGTTATTAAAATATTTATTATGTATGGAAATAAGGAATGTAAAAATTAAACTCGGAAATCGATTTCATAGTGAAAAACATGTTCATTAATTTCACAATGAACAAAATTGCTTGAAAACATTTCGATGAAAAATGTCGTTCATTTAAGACATGTTAAAACATATTTTTTAACATGGCCTTAATATATATATGAGTAGTTCTTTTCTTTTGTTACTCTCCTTGACATAATCTATCTCTTAAATATTATATTTACATATACAAGTATTTCACAATCGTGTATGAACGATTAGTAAAACATAGATCGAACATTTGCACATGTGTGCTAATCATACAATTATCTTGTCTTACAAAATTTCAACGTCCAAATCCACCATCCGAGAGAGATGTTACTTTCTGCTGTATTATTTTACCATAACCACCCCGTCCGCTATCAAAGTCTGATCGATATTCATCTCTCACCTAAATAAAGAATAATATTATATTATATGCCACATATCTTAGATTTAAACTAATCCTATACAAGATATCAATTTGAAGATAATTACTTGTCCTCCAGTTTTGCCCCGGCCATACTGTCTGCCTTCGATAAAGCCAGCGTCCCAATCTGTCCTAATTATTCTATCATCTAAACGAGTGCCGTTGATATACCTCATACAATATTCAGCATCGGCTCTTTGATAGTACTCTACAAAGCAGAAACCGCATGGTGTCTTCTTATACTTGTCGAGACCCATAATAATACGCCTGATATCACCACACTTTGTAAACAATTCATATATTTGTTCCTCGGTAGTATAAAAAGACAGATTGCCCACATATAAGGTAGTAGAGTTCCTTAAAAGTCTATCTTGTTCAGCCCTTGAACCCTTAAAAGATATAAGAATAGTAAAATCAGTAATTTATATAATTAAATTATATCATATAATTAATATGTGCAAATACAAAAAATATAAATGTTGTAAAATCATAATAAAATTGAAATTATTTTCACCATATTTTCACATACAAATTAACTTTTATGAAACAAACCTTAAAATGTTGATCGCGGTAAGAGCTTAACTCAACTGATGTGGTATTTGCCAATTTGATCGACATTTTAGCCTTAGAACTACGGTTATTAAACCTGATTAGGGGTGATGTGTAAACGTAGTTTATGTGAATTATTTTTCAGGCAAAGAATTGTCTAGCGTTGTCATATCATATGGAAACACAACCTAGGATATATACAAACAAAATGAGAAGAAATGTTACTAAATTTATTCGTAATAAGATAATATTTGATTGACCAATCAGGACGAAGCAGTCTCTGCTTCTCTTGTTCTGATTGGTCAATCCAATTCTACTTCACCCGACGATTAAATTTTCTAACGCAGTCCTTCATGATTGTCACACTCTATGGTTGCTTTTTTTTTTAGATGTATTTTGGAACGTTCTAGAATATCGCGGCAGCCAATCAACTTTCACTTTTTATAGTAGCTTCTTGCCACATCTCACATCACGCATGCAGGAGCCACTACATGTATTAGCTGGGTTCGTAAAGCAACGATACTATCTCTTTTCCCTTCGTGCGTATCCTCGACAAGGTAAGCGTGTAATTGATATCCAATATATCGAATAAATATACGTGAAATAACTTACGGTTATATTCGAGCAATGCTTTATTGATACTTATATATTGGCGACTTATCGTTAAGTACTTTACGTTTGAATTTCTCGATGCGAAAAAGATCATTTAACATATGCGTCATAACCTAAAAATCACGTTGCTTGCATGCTGCGACTTTTTGTCACTCTTGCATACAATATTTTTGTTCCTATTAAAAATTTATGATAAGAACTTGCGTTGAATTTTTATGTAAAAAATGTAATTGTTATATTGTATATGATATGTGTATGTGTGTGTGTGTGTGTATGACAAAAATTTTATACAGAGATATACTCATGCATTTACACACACATATACACTCATATATCTTATATTAATACTACTACTCCTAAAGCTTACATTCATCATGTAGTACTACAAACGCAAATTATATAAGTATATATATTACAATTATAATTCTTACAATTTTTTGAACTTGCATATATTACAGAGTTTCTGATACATCAAAAAATGACGAATCCTATGCAGCTCCATATTCGTGGACAGGAGACAACTGTCATTGATTGTGTAGAGAATGACAGAATACAACACATAAAGGTATATTAGCGTTTCTTTTATCATTATCTCAACATAAAATTTAGTGTATTTGAATTTGTCTTTGAGAATTTTGTAAAAACGTAGCATTAATATGATAATCTAGCATTTGCTAACTTTACATGAATGCTAGAAGGAGCAATAATGCAAAAGTAATGTGTGAATTTATAAAAGAGCAAAAGTAATTGTTCTTTTACTCTTTGATAAACTTACTACAATTTTATCTTTATAATGAGTTTTTAGAGGAACAAATTTTAATCATATAATAGAAAATATTAAGAAGAAAATAAAATGTTTAGAATATAGCAGCAATCTGTTTGAATATACTTATAATATAAATATAAGCAAATTAAAAAATATACTGTATTAATAATTTTCCATAGAAGATATTGTTTGGCTATTTAATGATTAATTCAAATAAATCTTCTACTTTTTATAGAAAAAAATTGCATGTCTTCATAGTATCGAGGACGAATTTCACCTTTATTGCAATGGGAGTTTATTAACAGACGAAGCTTGTGTTGGTGAACTTCCATCAAATGTACTTGATTTGACTGTACCCTTACGGGGAGGTAAGTTAATATATAAAAATAAGATATA